TCTTCCAAACCTTAATGACATCATGCAGAAACGTATCTTGAAAATGCTTTTAACTCCACACCTCATCAGAGTTCAGTGGTAAATGGACAGATATCTGAAAAAAACCCTATCTCCTAAGGCAAAGAGTAAATGTATTCCCTTAGGCTATCTCTTTGAGACAAATATCTAATCTAACAAAGATTAGCTTGGCTGATCAATATCTTAAGATTTTCAGACCTGAAATTTATTGTGTTCATCTGAGATAATTGCAGCACTGCTTTCCTTTCAGTAAGAAATGTTTTAACACCACCTCTTTTCAGTATCACCCACTAATAATCACATTGGCTTGTTGAATGTTTTATTAAGTAATTTGTATGCTTCTGCTTGCTAGATGAATATGTGGCACTGTTCTTAATACTGCAAATGAACTCCCTAAAGGATATTCTTTCTGCTGGAGAAATTTCACTAAACAGGTTTTTAAATCATATTTTGGGGGAAAGGGAAGTTATGAAAGATCCGTACTGTGCAAACATCTTCTTTTCCATACTTCTTCAAGCCTTGCTGCATACTTCAGCTGAAGGCTGGGTGAAAGGTCACTAGTTTATTCATTATCATTTCCTTGTGTGAGGAAAACTTGTATGAAGAATACTATGAGATACTGTGCCAGTCAGCTGAAGAGAAGCTGCTGAATCTTGTATAATGTAATTAAGTTTCTCTTAATCACTCTCAAGACCCCTTGACCTATGTATGAACACTAATCAATAACCTATTGTTTAAAAGTAGAATGTTTAGACTATACTTTAACGAAAAATTAATTAGGTTTTGTAATGGATCAAAGAACTGTGTGTGTATTCATTATGCAATGAATAATTATGTTCTCATGATATGGAGAACCAAAACCCACAGATGTGCAAACAGGTAAGTCAACCATAAGAAGAACAAAGAGAAGTAAAACCTTGATGTAAATAATAATGAACAACGCATGCGTCAGGACCTGCCAACAAGAAAAGGTCAACTAAAGGAGAAACGATGAAGAAGATGATACGACCACCAGATGAAGTAAACGACCACCGGAAAGGCGACGACTTTAGAGGTGGACACTAGATGGCAGCGAGGACCATGAAATAGAAGACCATAACCTGATGATACCGTTTTTTTAGAATAGGCGGGTTTATGGAAAATATTTCTAGGAAAATAACATGAATATGTAACAATTTTGTAAATATCACTTGTTTGAGATCGTTGTTTCGTTGGCGCACTTGTGTGGACCAATCCCCAGTGCTGCCCAGCGCTGCTAATAAAGAATACCTGCTTACCAGTATCATCAGAGTGCTGTAAAGTCACGTTTCTTCGTTTCAGTTGGCACCCCAGATGGGACCCTCTCTGCTCGGCTGCAGGACCAGCTGAGAACAGGACTCCCTTGGGCACCCCCAGGGATTGTTCCGGAGGGACTCCTCACCTCAATCGGATCCATGCAGGAACAGACAAGGACCATCGGGAAAAGGTATTCTTTTGCTTTATTTTGTTTGGGGACCAGTCAATTTGAAAACTGTCCGTAATCCGCAAGACAAGATCTTCTGTTGGACAGCATATACCAAGTTGCTAGCACCTTACTGGTATACATTTGGGTGTACTTTGGTACACATTTGGAATTTTGGTTATTTCAGGTTTTGGAATATTTTGGTATACTTTTGGAATTTTGGTAACTTTCGGGTTTGACTTTTGGCTTGGAATTGTGGTCAATGGCTTTTGCGATATACGGAACTGATTTTGGTATATTGTTGCTAGTGATAATAGTTATTTATTGCTGTATTAAGAATACCCCAGCTGCTCCTTCCATACAAATTCCGTGTGTACTACAATGGGCAGTCAACAGAGGGGGGGGGATTTTAAAGGAAAGCCCATTAGGGTGCATATTAGCCCATTGGAAAGATGCTGGGGGTCCACCAGGTGGAAGCATAAAAAAGAAAACCTTAATAAAATATTGTAATCAGGGGTGGCCTTTGTATAACTTAAGGGATGGAGAGAAGTGACCTTTTAGCGGAACTTTGAACTATAATACTCTGTTGCAATTGATGTTATTTTTGAGAAAAGAAGAGAAGTGGGATGAGGTTGTATATGCTGATATGTTTTTCACTTTGAGAAGTCATCCTGACTGGCAGAAAGAGTGCGGTACTAATTTGGCCCTGCAGGACCCTCTGGTGTTGGCTTTGGAAAAAGAGCAGAAAAAGAGCAGAAAAAGGGTCAGGGCGAGTTAAAGCGGTGTTGTTCAGCATGTAGTATTGGGGAAAGGTGTTTGAAGGTAAAGGCTCGGGAAAAGGAGGTGGAGAAGAGGATTGAGGATTATGTACCCACTCCCTTAGACCTGTTAGAGGGACTCCCCAATGAGGAAGAGGAATGGGGGGGGGGGGGGAACTCTAATCACTGCCCAGACTCATAGTAAAACGGGTCAGGTTATACAAGCACCACGCAGGGAAGCAATGGGACCGGGAGGACCAACTCGACTTAAGGCTCCTTTTAATATGGGTGATTTGGATTCTTGGAAAGAGGTGGTGAAAAGTTATCAGAATGATCCCTCAGGGGTTGGTAAGAGATTTGAATTAATAGTTAAAAATCAAGATCCAGACTGGAAAGATATAGATTTAATGCTGGATGCAATGACAGAAACAGAAAAACAATTGGTCATAAAAACGGCTCGCACCCACGTGCAGGCACAAATTACAGCTGGAGTAATGGGCGGGGGAGTCGATCAGTATGTTCAAGATAACCCGAATTGGAATCCAAATGATAATGCCCATTATCGAATGTTACAGCAATATCAAGATTGGATAAAATTTGGATTAGAAAATCAGTCCCCAAAACTGTAAATTGGTCAGCACTGTATGCTGTAAAACAAGGTCAAACTGAAACCCCCACGGAGTTTCTGGATTGGTTGAGGGCAGCAATGCGTAAAGACACTACTTCAGATCCCTCATCTGATGTGGGGCAGCAACAACTAGTCCCGTTGGTTTTGAGACAGTCATCTGAGGATGTTAGAAGGAAACTTTAAAAACTTAAAGAGCCGGAGGTGCGGGATTTGGAAAAATTGATTGAGGAAGCATGGAGGATGTATAGAAACAGAGATAATAATGAGCGGAGAAAATTAGGAAGGACAATAGCTACTGCCACCGTTGCAGCATTGGAACAACAAACCAGGGAACCCAGAGACCTCCTTGAGGAAGGGGAAGCAGAGGACCCACAAGGGCTCAAGAGGGATTTCGACCATCCCTAGGAACAGATCAATATGCATATTGTAAAGAACAAGGACATTGGAAAAAATATTGCCCCAAGTTAAGGAAAACTAAACATGTGATGGAGGCAGTTGACTGAGTGACGGGACCTGGGGAATCTACCCTAGGGGAACCACTGGTTAGAATAAAGCTAGGGAAACAGAGTAAAGAGGTTGAATTTTTAGTAGGCAGGGGGGCCTCCTACTCTGTATTAAATCAAAAACTTATACCCGTGGACGGGGATTTTGTTAATGTAGTAGGAGCTACTGGCCAATCAGAAAAGGCTTACTTCTTGCAACCAATTGAATTTAAATTGGGGAAACAAATGGGGATACACAAATTTTTATATATGCCTGGATCTCCAAAATCTCTACTTGGATGAGATCTACTTGAACAATTGGAGGCAAAAATAGCATTTAAAGAGGGAAGAATGGAATTGAAAGTCAAATAAAAACAATTAATAGAAATTTTGAGTTTGGCTCTAATAAAACCTGAAAAGAAAATTCAAACACCCCTAGAAATTGTGGAAATCTTGAATCAGGTACGTCCAGAGGTATGGACATCCAGAATACCTGGCAGGGTGATAAATGCAACGCCAGTAAAAGTAGAGTTAAAAATCGGGGCCAAGCCAGTAAGAATAAAACAATATCCTCTCAAATTAGAAGATCGTAAGGGGATAAAGGAAATAATTGACAACTTTTGCAATTAGGATTACTTATAGAATGTGAATCAGAATATAACACTCCTATTTTGCCTGTGAAAAAGCCTGATGGCAAAAATAATCGATTGGTGCAGGATTTAAGAGTGATAAGCAAAATTGTAGAAGATATACACACGGTGGTAGCAAATCCATATACTTTGTTAACAAAGCTAAGAAACAATCAAACATAGTTTATTGTACTGGATTTAAAGGATGCCTTTTTCTGTTTAGCTTTAGCTAAAGAAAGTCAAAAGCTGTTTGCTTTTGAATGGGAAAATCCAGAAACTGGAAGAAAAACCCAGCTAACCTGGGCAGTGTTACCTCAGGGTTTTAAGAACAGTCCTACAATTTTTGGCAACCAGTTAGCTCGAGAACTTGAAACCTGGGATCCCCCATCAAAGGAGGGAACTCTGTTACAACTTGTGGATGACCTTTTAATTGCCACTGAAACAAGGGAAGATTGCATACAATGGACTATAAGTTTACTTAACTTTTTGGGTTCAAGTGGATATCGAGTCTCTCAACAGAAGGCTCAGTTGATCCAGCCGCAAGTGATTTATCTTAGATTTGAGATTTCAGGAGGACAGAGGGAACCTGGAGTGGAACGAAAAGAAGCAATCTGCCGCACACCCAGGCCCTGGATGGTAAAAGAACTCAGGACATTCCTTGGCATGACAGGTCGGTGCCAATTATGGATATATAATTATGGACTCTTAGTAAAACAATTATATCGGCTGTTAAAAGAAGACTCTCCAATTTTAATATGGACTACGGAGGCCAAACGAGCATTTGAACAGCTCAAGAAAGAACTTATGATGCCTCCAGCTTTGGGACTCCCTGATGTTTCAAAACCATTTTGGTTGTTTTCACATGAAAAGCAAGGCATAACCTTGGGGATTCTTGCCCAACAACTGGGGCCTTAAAAAAGAGCAGTTGCTTACTTCTCCAAGCAGTTGAATCAAGTGAGCAAAGGTTGGCCTGGATGCCTGCAGGCGGTTGCAGCAGTCGTTCTCAACCTCCAGGAGGCTCGCAAATTTACCCTGGGACAGAGAATGCCTGTGCTAGTATCTCATTCTGTTTCCGCTGTTTTGGAACAAAAAGGGAACCGTTGGGTCTCTCCTTCTCGATTTTTAAAGTATCAAGCTATCTTAGTGGAACAGGATGATGTCAATATAGTAATAACTAACATTGTGAACCCAACAGCTTTTCTCAGCGGAGATACCTCAGAGCTTGTGACACACGACTGTCTGGAGACGATGGAAACCGTCTACTCCAGCCGACCAGATCTGAAGGAGGAACCTCTTGAAGATGCTGAGGAATCGTGGTTCATGGATGGAAGCAGTTTTGTAAAACAAGGAAACCGTAAAGCTGGGTATGCTGTGACTACCACCCATGAGGTGATTGAAGCCGAATCGTTACCTGCAGGAACATCAGCACAAAAGGCGGAGATAATAGCTCTAACCAGAGCCTTAGAATTGGCCAGAGGGAAGAGGATCAACATATGGATTGATTCCAAATATGCCTTTGGGGTGTTACATGCCCATGGCGTAATTTGGAAAAAACGAGGACTGCTTACAGCACAAGGAAAACAAATAAAACATGCTGAAGAAATTTTACAACTTTTAGAAGCTGTAAAATTGCCGGAGAAAGTGACTGTAATGCATTGTAGAGGACATCAAAAAGGTAACACTGAACAGGAAATTGGAAATAAATTGGCAGACCATGAAGCCAAACAGGCTGCAGAACAAGCTGAAGCTAGAACACTGACTTTGATTCCAGATGGTAAACTTCAAACTCTAAATTTAGAATCAGAATCTGTGAACTATTCTGAAGAAGATAGGGATTTGATTAACAGTTTAGGAGAAAAAGAACAAACAGATGCGTGGGTATATAGGCCTGATGGACGTATTATAATACCCTTTAGTATTTTATGGAAACTAACTACAGAGGAACATAATAAAACTCACTGGGGAGCTGATGCTCTATACAAATATTTGAATGAAAGGTTGATAGGTTGTAACCTATACATGACAGTTAAAGTCACCCAGCACTGTGAACTTTGCTTAAGGAATAATCCTAACAGAACAAATAGAACAAGAATTGAGAAAATTGGAAAAGGTAACATCCCAGGACAAGAATGGCAAGTGGACTTCTCTGAACTCCCAAGAAAAGGGGGGTATTGGTATTTGTTAGTACTAACAGATACTTTTGCAGGTTGGCCAAAAGCTTTCCCCTGCAGAACAAACAAAGCAAGAGAACTTACATGAGTGTTGTTAAACAACATAACACCTTGATTTGGAATACCAGCGGTAATATCGTTGGATAGAGGTACTCATTTTTGTGCACAAGTAGTGCAACAGGTCAGTAAAATGCTAAAAATTAATTGGCAATTACACACTCCTCATCAACCACAGGCAAGTTGACAAGTTGAAAAGATGAATCATCTGATAAAACAACAATTGGCTAAAATCTGTCAGGAAGCCAACTTATATTGGTACGAAGCACTTCCTCTTGCTTTGCTTAGAATAAGAGTTAAACCAAGACCTAAGGAAAATTTAAGTCTGTTCAAGATTTTGTATGGGAGACCTTATCAAACCCAATACCAAGGGAAGATTTGAATCAATTAGGTGAAGGATATCTACAGAAATACATGATGGCACTAGGAAACCAATTAAGCAAAATCAACAAAATATTTGTGGGAACTAGGGTTAAGGGCTTAGATCAGCCAATTCACCCTTTTAAACCAGGAGATTGGGTATATATTAAAGCTTTTTCAGGTCAACTGCTGGAGGAGAGATGGAATGGACCATTCCAGGTACTGCTGATGACATTCACTGCAATCAAAATTGGAGAACAACCCGCTCGGATTCATTAATCCCGAGTGAAGAAAGCACCTGAAAAGCAATGGATGTTGGAACCCGTGGGACCAACAACATTAAGATTTTCCCAACACTTGTGACTACGATGAGTATATTAACCTTAACCAATACCTTCACCCCAAGCTGGCCCTTAACAACAGGAAATCTTTCCTCTTGGATATTGAATGATACATTGTGGTGGTGTGGTTTTGATGATCTCATTCTCCCCCCCAGTTAGGTAACAGTGAATGGAACTAATTGGAAATGGTACTGGCCTTTAGCAACTGACATCAACATCCCAAGATCACAGTTCCAAGGACGCTGGTTTTTGAAAAACTCTACTTTAACCTCATTACAAATTTATACCAATATTACCATAGAGTGTTGCTTAGGAAACGGGGTCCCGAATTTAATGAAACCCAATTGTACACCATGGCATAATGTTACTAAAAGCAACCCTTTACTAATAAATTCTTTTAACTCTGCTTGGGAATCTATATTTTGTCATGATACAAACCTTACATGCTCTGAAATGATTATTTTTATTAAACTTAAGACCTATTGTCAGAACTGAACAAGTTCAAACATTACCTTTGACTTATATCAATGTAGCTCAACAATGTCAAAAGCATATTTTGCAATTCAATATCACATTTCCTACAACACCACCCTGTAGAGTTAGAAGGGCATGATATGATACCCTTCTGGGAGGTGTTGGATTGTTGAATTTGGTAGGTTTAGAAACAATTAGAAATAAAATTAGTTGAACTGGACATGATGTAGGACAATCCATCCGAATACAGGCTGATTGGATGCCTACAGCTTTAATCCCACAATTCTTGACCCTAAATTATGACAAGATTTTGCAATTGTTTAACAGACCATAATTACCTCTATGCAAATTGACAAAAATATTTCTAGTCTGTTTAATTGGACAGTCCATACTATGGAGACCATATACCAAATTCAACAGAAAGATAGGGTACAATCATATCTGATGAGCAATAATGAATGGAGGCAATTATTTGGGAAAATGTATTAATGGGGACCATTGACTCAAACCCTACCCACAATACATAAAATGCGTAGGTGATTGGTGCATAGGTAAAGTCATTTATTACAATGTGACCAAATCTGAAATAATGTGTAGATTTATAACCCTGCCCTCACTGTTTCTGCATGAATATTGGATTCCCCAATTTCAAGCAAATTTTATAGACACGCAAAATAAGACACACGAGTTAACTCTGTGTGAGTCTACCATAGATGGAATGGTTTGTAGTCAACAGTCTGCACAACAGGTACCCTGCTTTTTAGAACAAACAATTAATGCGTGCGAATGGACAATCTTGCCAATCACGGAATTAGAAATGTTATTGAGGTTAATGCCAGTCACGTGTGCTTTGTAACAAATGACAGAAGAAGTGTAAAAGAATTTGGATTGCAAACACTGTTTGCAGGATGTCTGAGAAACATGACCCATCTGTTTTGGAAAAACACTACCTACACTTTCTTTGCTATGACAGAAGAACAGCTAGCTTTATTTTGGCATTATGAATCCCTGAATGTAAGTAAAGTTGGAATTTCATTGGAGAAGCTAAACCAGATTTTGAATCAGACAAAACAGTTTAAAGATTATGTACAAAAATGAAATAAGACTTTACATGAGTCCTTAGTGAAAACTATCATAACCCAAAATGAATTAAAAGACATATCCGGACAAATTGAATCAGAAACAGTTCATCATTGGTGGGATGTTTTTGTAGGTTACTCTCCATCAGCCACAGAGGTACTAGAGGTACTGATCCATCCTTTACTTGTGTTATTGATAATAATTCTAGTCCTGACAATAGTGAATTTTATCTTCTGGTGCAAATTAAGAACCTTAACTAAAAGAATTTGGGCATTACCCACAATAGTCAAACAAGAACAATATGGACTTTTGCAAAAGAATTTGCAAGCATATTGAAAGGGGGGGGGCAATCAAAGAACTGTGTGTGTATTCATTATGCAATGAATAATTATGTTCTCATGATATGGAGAACCAAAACCCACAGATGTGCAAACAGGTAAGTCAACCATAAGAAGAACAAAGAGAAGTAAAACCTTGATGTAAATAATAATGAACAACGCATGCGTCAGGACCTGCCAACAAGAAAAGGTCAACTAAAGGAGAAACGATGAAGAAGATGATACGACCACCAGATGAAGTAAACGACCACCGGAAAGGCGACGACTTTAGAGGTGGACACTAGATGGCAGCGAGGACCATGAAATAGAAGACCATAACCTGATGATACCGGTTTTTTAGAATAGGCGGGGTTATGGAAAATATTTCTAGGAAAATAACATGAATATGTAACAATTTTGTAAATATCACTTGTTTGAGATCGTTGTTTCGTTGGCGCACTTGTGTGGACCAACCCCCAGTGCTGCCCAGCGCTGCTAATAAAGAATACCCGCTTACCAGTATCATTAGAGTGCTGTTAAGCCACATTTCTTCGTTTCACAGCTTACAGTCAACAAGCATGGCATGTCTCCACCCCTATGCTGTTTAATCTGCTTTTATCCAACAACATCTTGAAACATTTGGATTTATTACTTTGGGATTGTTTGTACTGAGCACACATAAGTGCTGTTATTTGGGGAGGTGGTCTTAGCACACATTAACCCGTCCGTGCTTTGACAGGTTCTCCTTCAAATACTGACTTGAACTAAAGGTTGAGTGAGGAGTCCAGCAAGAGGTGCCTCCCACATCCAAAACCCCATATAGCTGGCTTCTGATCCCCGGGACAGTGATTTATGACTCCCTGTAAGGACCTCAGTGAACCTGGATCTTCATCAGACTTTGAATTTGACTAATATTAGCAAAGACCTGACTTATTTTGCCTTTGCAGGGGGAGCTTACCTGGAGCTAAAGTTCTGCAGATGGCAATGCGACGGAGGTGACAATTTGGCCTGCAGCACCTTTAATAAAGAGATGAAAATGAAGAGCAGGGAGGAAATATTATGAGGCTATGCCCCTCCTGGCAGAGGGACAGCAGTTACCATGGTCCCAGGTACCTCGCAACCTGCTCCACACTGCAGCTCCTCCTGTGCACGGCTGGAGGAACAGCCCTGGCAGTCAACAGCACAGCATTATGACATGTAAGGATATAGAACCACGAGTATATTTAGGACTGGCAATGAGAGAGAAAATGCTGGTTTTAAACAAGAGCAGGATGCTTTTGTTCACAAAACATTGGTAGTTAAAAAATGTAGACTCCCCTGAAGCCATTCTCACAGCTGCTTTTCAGAGAATCCCTCTTTCTTCCAAAAGAGGAAAGGCCCAAGGCTTAGGAAGACATGGATGGGCAGCAAAATGGGGCTTCACGAGCAGCATGATTTGTCTCACCTTTGACCACCACTTTCTGTCTCTTCTATGAATCATTATTACTAATTATTAATGACTCAGGAACCAACCCTCTCTTGATACCAAAGGTACACGAGTCATCCTAAACTTCTACTTCAGCCATGATCCAGTGTCTAATAAGCTCACTAGGATTTAAAAACTATTGCACTTCAGATTAGACTTCTTACTGAGACTTCAAGATACCATGGCACAGACTTTCACCTGATTTATTCCAGCATGAACCAGGATTAATTCCATTTGCAACACCAATATGAAGCCAGTGCGAGTGAAAGATTTAACTCAGTACAATATTTATCAGGCTTGCACTTCTGGCTTATGTCAAGGCAAAGAGAGAAACACCTAGAGCCAGACTCCTACATCATGGCTCAGGAGATTAAGCTGATCTTCAAACCTAAAGGTGAAGAAGGCTGGGAGCCCTGACTCTTCCCACCTTTTAGTATGATTTCCCACCTAATTTTTCTATTTTACTGACATCTTACCTTCCTCTGGGGGATTTTGTATATAGGTGTGTCGTGGTTTAACCCCAGCCAGCAACTAAGTACCACGCAGCTGCTCACCCACTTCCCCCCCCCACCCAGTGAGATGGGGGAGAGAATCAGGAAAAAAAAAAGGTAAAACTCGTGGGTTGAGACAAGAACAGTCTAATAGGACAGAAAGGAAGAAAATAATAATTATTATAATAACAATAATAAAATGACAATAATAATAATAATAAAATAATTGGAATATATAAAACAAGTGATGCACAATGCAATTGCTTATCACTTGCCAAACGATGCCCAGTTAGTTCCTGAGCAGCGATCACCCCCCAGGCCAACTCGCCCCCAGTTTATATACTGGGCATGACGTCACATGGTATGGAATACCCCTTTGTCCAGTTTGGGTCAGCTGTCCTGGCTGTGTCCCCTCCCAACCTCTTGTGCCCCTGCAGCTTTCTCGCTGGCTGGGCTTGAGAAGCTGAAAAATCCCTGACTTGGTATAAACACTACATAGCAACAACTGAAAACATCAGTGCGTTATCAACATTCTTATACTAAATCCAAAACACGGCATTATACCAGCTACTCGGAAGAAAATTAACTCTATCCCAGCCAAAACCAGAACAAGCTGTGGGATGGGGAGGAGGGATATCAGTCACATTCCACTCCCCAAAAATAAACCCAAAGTCTAAGCAGGCTGCTTTAAATGCCTTAAAGCAAGCACCGAATTGGACCCTGACTGGAAGGTGGCAGGCCATGTGGTGAAGCAGATTCCTTCCTTGTTTGGCAGAAGCGTATTTAGCACCACCCTATAAA